GAGGCGAGGGTGACACGGAGAAGATGGTGTGAGGAAGAAATGAGAGCTTGTGGGCAGTGTTTGAGCCAGGTTTAAAAGATTGCAGAGAACAGAGTAGAATGGAGACATGCTAGTGAAGCTGTATGTTCCACTAGGAACCTAGGAGGCAAACAAAAATCATAATAATAATAGCCGAGCAGAAACGTCTATGGCCAGTGAGTAAAACTATTAGCATAACTTCCTCTGAGAACAAGTGCTATAACATATAAGAGTACTCAAAAATATGCTGTAACCAAAAATTAAAGTATTCAAATAGAAAGGAACCGTTCAAAGGCTGTATGTCTTCGTATTCACTGCATCGCCGAAACTCTTATCAGCTAAATGGAGAAACCTAAACTCTGTATACAAAAGAAGATTGTTCAACCCCCTCTTGTTTCATGACCACAGTTTTCAGTCTGCTCTACCCCATCCTTTCTTCCTTTCCTTTTTTGTGTATTGGCACCATTTACTTCTTAAGAAATTCGCTACTTATTTTTGTTGCTATGCTTTGCCTGATTACAATTCAGTTTCCAGTTATGTCGTCACGATATGAAACTTCTTGTACAAATTTATTTCGATTAATATTGACTACTCATCAGGTTTGGGTCTTTTTAATTTTAGTGATAGCTCATTTTTGACCCTATTTATGTTGCCTGGCATACTTGACAATCCGTTTTCACTCTCAAATCCTTAAACAAGAAAAATGTATAAATCTGCGATTGTATAGCATTGAAAATGAGATCGTGAAAAAGATACTCTTCGCTGATATACTAACTGTTCTTTTATATCGTGATGGGTATATTTCACGTATTTTTTAAAAACTGAATTGCTAAGAGTTATGAGCACTTATTCGATGTAGCCATAGGGATCAAAAGACTGAGATCAAGACTGTATGTTCAAAAACGAAGCAGAGATAAGTTTTTTGCCTTTATAACTTAATATTTTGCACTTCCTCTCTCTCTTAATGTCCATCTTTTGACTAAACCTTTATTCTGTTATGTACTAAATCTAAAGGGTTGTTCTAGCAGCTGAGTTCAACTCATTATATTATTAAGTAATTTGTCAGTTCTTTCTTTTCAACTAACTAACCTGATAGCCTTTTTCCATATTCTCTTATTACTATCCATATTCTTTTCTTGCAAACCCTTATCAGCCTCATTCAACAACTATATGAAGACGCCGCATGACAAGTAATTGACAATGGGAAGCTCAGTGATACCTTTGGAGTGGAAGTGAAGACAGGAGTGAAACAAGCTTGCCTACTATCACCCATGATATTCCTGATTGTGGTCGACTCGACTGGATGATGCAGCAGGCAACTGTGAGGAGCTGTGAGAAGAGGGGATACGCTGGCTGGACAGGGGAAAAGAACCTAGAAGATCTGGATTTCGCCGATGACGACTTGTGTCTGATGTCACATAAACTTGAAGATCTCCAGGCGAAAACTAACAAGTTGGTAGAAGAGGCAGGGCACGGCAGCGAAGACGGGATTTCAGGTGAATATAGAGAAGACAGAGGTGATGAAGCTACCACACCAACAACTCCAACAACAACAACAAACAACAAATTCCAATCACCATGAACGGGAGAAACTTGAAGGAAGTAACCTCCTCCACCCATCTAGGCAGTCAGCACTGTTTCAACTACAGGTGGCACAGGCACAGACGAGGATGTCAAAGTGAGAATCGGAAAAGCAAGACAGGCATTCATTAACCTGAAACCAGTGTGGAGATCTACTTCACTGCACTCAGCATAAAGCGTGGACAAGATTCTGATTTCCAACACCAATCCAGTCAAGTCGGTGCTTTTGTATGGTTGAGAGACTTGGCGCGTCACGAAAGGGATTTGCAATAAACTACAGACATTAATCAACAACTGCCACCTACACTGGCTCATTACTGAAGATCGAATGGATTGCGAGAAAGAATAAGCAACAAGGAGCTCTGGGAAGGAACCAACTGAGAAGTTATTGCTCAACAAATGTGCAGAAGGAAGTGGAAGTGGAGATGGATTGGGCATACACTGAGAAGGCTGACTGTGGACATCACGCGTCAGGCGAAGCCGTCGAGTGGAACTCAGATGGGAAGTGACGAGTTGGGCGTTGGATGTGAGGGTGATATGGAGGAGATCGTGCGAGGAGGAAATGAGAGGTTGTGGGCTGTCGTGGAGCCAGGTTGAAAGAGAAGATTTCAGAGAAGAGAGTGGAGTGGAGACTTGCTAGTGAATCCCTATGTTCCATTAGGAACCCAAGGGACTAACAATAAAATAATAATAATAATATTTTTTTCTTGAACTCTTTGTCAAAACACATATAGATGAACCTTCATAGTGTTTCTTCCTAACTTTATCTAGATACTAGTGTTGTTTGTAAAATGATGTCGTTTTCCTTTGACTGGTCCCATGAAGTGCTTTAAAGTGTATTCTGATTCTTTTGTAATGTGATATTTCAAGCTTCTTAGGTTGCAAGCAGCTGATAAGGAACTGGTAGAATAAACTGATGTCATGCTATTCAGCTTCAGTCATTGTTTTTCTCTACTCACTTTGATAAGGGGGAATATGTGTATGGAAATTAGTACAATCCAATGAATTTCATAGTTTTAACCAGCTTATCAACTAACATTTCTATTTTCAGTTTATTTTGTCCATTTTTATCGAAACGTATTGTTTTTGATAATCCAGATTAAGTTCATTTCGCAGATTGATTGAGAATATTCGGAAAGTCACATATATACGTGTGTAAATGTATACGAATAGACTAAATCAACATGAAACCTCGCACACAACTTCATCGGTTCAAGTTGCCACACTTCACATTACTATACTAGGAACAGGTGAATAGGAAAAACTTATGCTAGAGAATAAGCAATTTGAAGATAACAGTTAGTAATAATATCCGAACTTTAGGAGATATCAAGGACTGAATGCATCTGCACTATTGCGGCTGATTTTCAGCCATGTCAATAAGTGTCCTCAAGCACTGATTCCTATTGTCTCATGGACTTCAACCAGGTAGTCTACAGGATAGAACGAATTGTGGAGCAGTATGCTACTCCCAGCATACATATCTCGTCTGTCAGCCCCATAGATGACGCATGCTGGTGAACATCGTAGAGGCCTTCTGGATACGCTGGACTGGGGAAAAGATCCTAGAAGTCTTGGATTTCGCAGATGACTTGTGTCTAATGTCACGCAAACTCAAAGATCTACAGGCAAAAACTAACAAGTTGACAGAAGAGGCAGAGTAGCGACGATGGGACTTCAAGTGAATGTAAAGAAGATCGAGGTGATGAAAATACCCAACCAACAGCATCAACCACAAGCACCAATCACCATGAACGGGAAAAATCTAAGGAAGTAGTCTCTTCTACCTACCTAGCTACTTGGCAGCATCGTTTCAACCACATACGTTACAGGCACAGATAAAGAAGTCAAAGCCAGGATCGGAAGGACAGCAAGATACGCCATCCTTCATTGATCTGAAATAATCAGACTGGACATCTCCTGCACTGTAATGCACTAGACATAAAGTATGAACGACATGCGTATTTTCAACACCAATTCAGTCAAGTTAGTCACTGCTTCCATGTGATGGTTGAGAGACTTGGCGCATTGAGTGAAGCATTTCCAATGAAGTACAGACATACATGCATCAACAGCTGCTGCCTACGCTCACTCCATATTGAAGATGAGTAACGACGAGTTGGGCGTGGGAGGCGAGGTTGACATGGAGGAGATGGTGTGAGGAAGCAATGGGAGCTTTTGGATATTGATGGAAGCAGGTTGGAAATACTGCAGAGAAGAGAGTGAAATGGTGGTGTGCTGGTGAAGCTCTATGTTTCACTAAGAACCCAAAGGATAAATAATTAGTAATAATAATAACCGCTAGGTACCTTGGACAACAACAACATTTCCTGGAAAACGTATTTGGATTGGATTGGATATACGCTGAGAGGACGGTTTGGGAATATCACGCATCACTCCAGGCCATCGAGTGCATGCGAAATGGGAAACGACGAGTTGAGTGCTCGAGGCGAGGTTGACATGAAGGAGATTGTATGAGGAAGAAATGAAAGTTTCTGGGCAGTCGTGAAGCCAGGTTAAAAATGAAGGCTGCAGAGAACAGAATGAAATGGCGATGTGATACTGAACTTCTGTGTTCCAGTAGGAACCCAAAGGACAGATTATATATATATATATATATATATATATATATATATATATATATATATATATATATAAATAGTTTACGGAGGTGGAAGGCATTTTTAACTAAAGGTCCCTAATAACTTTTCTGTGTTTATTTTTGCCTTTTTTTAACGACTCAAGAAAAATTCGTTTGTCTGAAACAATAATCGATTATTTGTAACAATTAAATTTAAGATTACAGAAAAGTAACTACTATACAACTTCTATTTACAGTGATAATAGTAATGCCCTTATAATGGAATGAGTACTTATACTTATTGACTAGTTGAAAGAAGATCACCTTCACTCGCAAGACTGTTATGTAACCAAAAAGTATTGATGAAGAGAAGTGAAATTCATTGAGAAATGCAAAATGTTTGAATTAGGTGATAATTCATATTGGTTAGGAGTGTGATTCAGGACAAGGGTTTTGGACTCGTCAACCGGATGTACCTGCCTCTTCGGCAGTGTTATTGTTCCCATTGAGACTCGAGCTCAAGGCAAGTCACTGCATGTGAGAGAGTGTTATCCACTAGGCAATTGGATAGTTGTATATCACTCCTTGAATGGTGGATATTTCATACTTTTTATCATAGCTTTTCCATCTATGTCATCTTTAAAGCATTCTGCTAGTTACAAACATCTTAGAGCATAATTTATGGTTGTGATTCATGATATTAGAAAACAATCTGTCCTTCTTGTTGTTGATTTCATGTTCTCTTGTTTTTAAAGATCCTTTATCCGATCACTAATTGATTTAATTATCTTTCTATCATTTTCTTTTGTTTACTCTTTAGTCAACAACCATTGGTGAATAGTAGTGAATCGTTAAACGCCTCTACCGGTACACTGTTTTCTCATGTATCCTCAGTTATGCCTAATTGGACAGTAAGTGAAATGTTTACGATAATGCTCTTTGAAGATCATAAAAAACTCATGAATAAATAAAAAAGAAGGAATTGCTTGGTTATTATGAATAAATGTTCAGTGAATGATTTAACATAATCATGCGTTGTAAATTTGATAGTGTTTTTGGGTAATATTACCTCCCGAAATAGGATGGTCAGATTTTGTGAATGATTTAAAACTGTACGGTTCATGTTGAAATTTCTCACAGTTGAGTAGTTTTCTGACTATTGAACTGCGGTGTCAACACAGTTTTTGTTTGGGTTGTTTTGTGTTCTCTGAGCTAGGTTTTTTTAACTGTAAAGCTTTATCGTTTTGCGAAACGATATCATCAGCACTAGCTTCAGTATGAGTCAATATCTCCTCGTTAGTGGTTTAGTAGCCTGTCCTGATGAACTGGTTTGTGACTAGTTATCTCCTTTGATTGTTGTTTCATTGACTACATACATTTTCCTGTTGACTGTTCATCTGCTTCACCTCTGACGTTTCTGTCGTTTATCACTTTTCTTACTGTTTGATAGATTAGGTCTTTGTCTATGCATCTACTGATTGCTGACTGACTGACCTGAATGTCAAGCTTCTAGGAATTCTCTGATATTCTTCACGTTTCCTCTCTCCATCAAAGATTTCTACATTGTCAAGAGTGAGTTCATATCCATAGGTATCCACATGCATTAAAATGAGTGATGAAGTATCTTGACGTTTGGTAACCAGTTTTTGTTCCTGTAGACGAAGGTGAAGACCACGATCACCTTGTTCAATGTAGTGTTGATCCCAATTATTACAGTTGATTTCAAATCACCCACTCAAAGTCACAAAGTGTGATGCATGTCTGAAACAAAAGTCTCATGAACTGGTTAAGTGTACTAGTACTGAACAAATTGAGGAGTCAGAAAGCTCTCAGGCTTATCTGCAGACTTCACCGAGCACATTAGAGTGATCTAAACACTGAACGATTGAGCTTATCATCGGTGTAGTCAGACAAGTACGGTCCATGGATTCTGTATATCTGAAGTACGTTGGTGAATTTGCAAGTCAGCTAACCAGGTTTAGGTGATCTTAACTAATTCAGTCTCAATATAAGCTGAATATTTTTACTTACGTCACTGATAAACTCTGCCTAAAACGGTCAAAATGATCGTCCGGTGTTTAGTTGCGCTTTCACCTGGCTGGTAGAATCTACAGGTCAGCGTGTGTGTTTTCTGACTACTCAACTGCTTCAGTAGTCGTATACCATATAGACATCAGACATTCATATGTGTATAAGGTGCTTTTATTTTCACCGTCAGTTAGTTTACAAAATATGGTGTTGTATAGGGTTGATATACCATTGGTGAATGTATTAGGGGGTTGAAGGTAATTTTACAGCCGTGGTCGTATCACCTCCTCACAGGATAAACCTATTATCACTTCTTGTTTTCAAGAGAATGGTTAACTCTCATTTTTATAACTATCTATATAGTAAGTAAATGATAAAGCGAAAACGTTTGTTTTAATTTGGCTGTTTTTTCAGTATTGAAAAATTGAATTTGTGAAACTTGCGAAACAATCAATCGTTATCATATGAAAAAAAACTATCAGCGCATAAACTTATGAATTACATGACTATCTTAAGACTCATAATGAATATTCTTTCCATCTTCTGTTGAGAAGGAACCTAATAAATAATGAGAATAGCGGTGATTCGGTGTTCTGTCGGCTTCGATATCTTGTCATAGATGCTTCATTTCTAGACTGGCAGAACATCGAACTTAATCATTAATATTATCGTTGTTATTTATTATAGCTCACAGCTTTGTTAGTATGCCAGTCCGGTTTATTTTTATAGAATCGAAAACCAAATATTGTTTTACTTTCAATGAAACGTTCTGATGACAACTGTATTAAACAGTGAGTAGTCTATTCTACCCACCGGCAAAATTTCCCCATGGTTTAGATTTTTATCAACCGAAAGAATAATATTGTCTCGCGCTAACTGCGTGTTACATTCCAGTCATCAGTTAGCGAAACATTAGAAATCTACTGCATCTTAGTTCTAGCTTCGTCGGAGTGAATACCGATCAGTACTGACTAGCTTCCGTGTGATTTTTATGAAGTTCCAGTGATAAATCATGATATTGCTAGCCCAACCACGTAGCCAGTTAGTTAGGTGTTTGCTGACGGTATTAAAGCTCAAAAGCGTTATAACACAAATCCACAGAAATTAGAAAGTGTAAACCATTAGGCTTCACGTTAGTGGTCCCCCCACCGTTAGTTGCTACCGTAATGCGATGGTCAGCCTCGAATATCACAGTGACCTAATAGGCTATGCTTGTGGGACTTTTGTTCTTCCAAGGTTCCACCATACAGAAAGGTTTGTCAGATATTGGTAAGACGAAAAGTAGTTAGCATTATAGCGTAAATTGCTAGGCTATGATGGGGATTTGAGAAAGAAGTCGTACTGATGACTGGACCGGGGTTTGGCCCAGCACGGTGTTTCCCTTAAATGACCAGCAGCACCACGCTGATGCTATTTTCCCTATGAAAAAGGAGACGGGGGATTAAAAAACTTTGTCCCAAAATATAGCACACTCCCACTCCTACCTGAAATGGGGATTAATAGTCGGATTTAGAGGCAAAACACCAAAATCTGAAAATCACAGAAAGGCTGTATATGATTGGCCTGAAACGGGTCTCCTTTAACCTTTGTGGGTAGACACAAAACCTCTTTCTTCAGGTACCTCAAAAGGAACTAGCCTCCCACGGTATGTGCAACCGTTAAGTGTCAACCACCCACACTCTTCAGTAGTCTGCCTGACTTAGTTACTGGACGGAAATGTGTCCATGTCGAAACCTGATACCTCTTGCTTGAACTCACATGGGTTCATGGGTTGGTAAGAAATCACAAACTAGGATGGAAGAGCTGCCCACTGCTTTCAGAATTTTGATTATTTTTTGACGTATATATATATATATAAAATGATTTGTAGGTTTGTGGGGATTTACCGACTTTAAGTTGGTTTCATGGACTGAGGTTCGTTGAGAGAGCTTTGGAAACCTTGCAACTCTGGACAGCTGTTTTGTCCTTGTACATAACTCAGCTGTGCGTACCCATGACCTTGTGGCCACCAAGTTACAAATGAGTCACGGGGTCCAAATCAAGTGGACCATGTTTCCAACTTCTGTCATTTCACAAAATAGCGCCACCATTACCTAATGTCATCGTTGAGTATTTCTCCTCACGGTCATCAGGTTGTCCCCATCTGTCACGACTTCTCATCAAAACTTCAAGAATCACGTCTCAAAGTTAATCACCAAAGAGGATTAGATTAACCCAATTTGAGAGTTTTAGCGGATTTATTTTTCTAATGCTCACTGGTGACTAGCTTTGACTGGTGATTCCTGAAGCTTCGATGGAAAGTCGTGAATGATGGGCGGGAACTGGTGGTCGTAAAGCTAAACACTCAACAATGATACTAGGTGATGTTCATGTTTTCGTGAACTGACAGAAAATGGAGGCTTGGACCACTGAATTACATTACAGTGGCTCAATAATAATATGGTGGCCACGGAATCTGAAAGACAGGAGTTCAGTCGCTGGCGGGATGGGGTCATAGGTCCGCACTGTTCAGAAGTTCCATACTAGGATGAAACAGTCGTCCAGCGCTCCCAGGTTTCCAATGTTCTTTTAATATATATATATATATATATATATATATATATATATATATATATATATGATGCGAAACATCCAAAAATATTTCAAAATTTGACAAGTCGACTGAACATCCATCTACAGACTATTTATATAATGTTCCAATGTATTTGTTGAACATTAAAAAAAACCGTAAAATGATAAGTTACCTATCAAATATCGATGAACATTTATGATATTGGATATTTCGTTTTATTTTTCCGCATGAATATTCCGTTATGGATTTTATGGTGTAAATGTTCTATCAACTTACGCCTACGCATATATGGAAACTGCATCAATTTCGTGGTTCTCTACCCAGTAGTAGTGATTATTGTCAAGTGAAATATGAAAAAAAAGGATTGACTAGGAATTTCTCTTTTATTTTTATTTAACTGTTATTCATATATGCAATAGATGTTACAGAACAGAGATAGGAGTAAGAGAGTAACAACAGACAAACAGCAATAATTTCACGTTATATGAAATACATCAATTTAACTTATCACAAAGGAAAGAAAGCAACTGAATAGACAAAGGTAAGTTAAAGGGTTGTCAAAGAGACTGAATTATGATTTAATACTAAAAAGATAATGCAAAAGTTTGGGAAAGAAAGGTGATAAGCCACATCTATTGCTTAAAGGATGACGATACTAAATAGCTGCGTAAACTTCGTAAGAAGGAGGAGAGATGTTCAAAACAGTGATCCACTCTCTAAGAGTTAGCTGACTAAATAAATGAATCACAGTATCTGCTACCGGCAAGTCTCAGCATTTTTATTTAGGTGCACCATATCTGTGCGATAGCAGTTATATCATTTTGACTATCTGAGATAGCCGTGATTTCAGCGACTAGTATTGATACTGTGTGATGATTGAAGGTGGAATGATAAACTGGATCATGTCTGAACTCGAACGAGCAACCACTGCGCTTTCAAACCCATGCTGCATCAACTGCGATATGAGATAAGACTCCTGACCTGATTTATATTTCATTAACACCTCAAAGGTTTTGCCCGAATACCATATGAACTGGTGGTGCTTTACTATCACCTGATCGTAATTACATTGGCTGCCTAGTCATAGCTGTCATGCCAATCCAAATATGATCGAATTAGAGAGGGGGAGCATCATATCGCAGCTTAGGTGGTAGACCATCGAGCCCAAAACACGATGGCCGCTGATTAGAATCCGCATAAGGTCCAAATTTTCCTTCCACCTTCAATCATCACCCAGTATCAATAGCAGATGTAATCATAAAAATGTCATCACACTACTACACAGTAGTAAAAGTTCTAGTGAATGAAATGACTAGTTGTGATGCTTTAATTCCTGTCTAGCCTAACAATTCTATCATAAAAAAGGTAATGTGGAAAACAGGTGGTAAATAATTTTCTTTCATGTTACGAAAGTAACTGCTACAGGAAGACTTTGTGTAATACATTTGTTTTGAATTGTCAACCAGGTAGAGACTTCCAAGTCTATGTATTATTTCGGAAACGTCTGCCATTACCATGAAGAATACGAGGTAAGTATTAAAGTAGTGAATATTCAGTTAGCATGTAAGCATTCGAATAGTAGGTCATTTGCTAACAGACGTCGAACAATTCCACCTAGTAATGCCGTGGGAAATTGCAAGTATCAGAAAGTAGCAACTGATATTCCTTGATAAGCCGAAGTTGATGACGACCTTGTTTATCTGTGGCTAAACATATTCTGGAATCAGGTTGAACTATTAATGCTGAAACAACCTTTTAAATTTTTATGGAAGTAGTCACGGACGTATACCGAAAACAATTTGTTCTTGTACAACACCTACCCTGGTAAACTTTATTTTATAACCAAGATTAGGATCGGCTATGTTTCTCTTTCTGTTGATTCTCATCTTTCCAAATTTCAATCCCCTATTATATTTATTATCTCAGCTTTCGGTTTAAAAAAATTGTCTTGAAAACTAAAGGTGCTATCAGAATATGCAAATTGTATTGCGCAGCTACATCACATTGTTCAAATATACTTCGTCTTCTAATTACTCTCTTTAAATACATAAAAGAAAGTATCTTTTTGGAACATTTTTGTCGTTATACAAAATGATAGTGAAGTGTTTATGTTAACTGAATATAAAAATTGAGTTATGTGAAGATTTGCTTGTATTATTCTGTTGCTGACTGAACCGAATTGATTTTTCTGTACTGGCATATGAGCTTCATCACTGAAACGCTAGTCAATATGGAGACATTCACATATGAGGCTATATGCTATTATTTACCGATCGATATGGTCTAACCAATGACGCAAAAAATTTACCCGTCGTGCAAGAAAGATATACCATGACCCGGTGGCTAATAGATAACGTCCTGGCGTTTGAAGCGATCGGTCTCTACTTCGAGTCAGCGTGGGAGGGAAGTCTAGAACTTAACACGCGTCCTGGATTACACTGCCAACCATCATCTATCATTACCATAATTTGGAGATAATTCAATGAAATGCATCCAAGTATTTTACTACGCTTTTACAGTCACCATCTGCCTCCTTATTTCATATTTGGAACTTGAGTCAATGTTAGGTTAAATGTTTCATTGATTCAAAATATGAAACACCGAAACAGTGATTTTCATGATGATCATCTTATTTCATGTAAAACCTAAGTTGAATTGAGTTTTGGTAGTGGATTGCTTTACTTATGCTTGTTCTAATTAAGACAAAATGGTTACGAAGCAGACTTTATTCGCCATAACTGAAGGTAAATCCAGCACAAAAATATACAGAAAATCAGCTCATTATAATAAATATTTAGACTTCAAATCAGATCATCCAATCAACATAAATGTTAGTGTCGCATTGAATCTACGAAAGAAAGGGAAAAATATCATAACCTATCCTAGTCGTGTGGTAATCAAAAACTCCACAATAAAACATATTTCAATGGAAAACGGATACCATGATATGTGTTTGAACAACATTATAGATCAAGTAAACAAAACAGCAGGTACTACTGCCAACGACAATAAAGTTATGAAGAAAACATACCATATCGATAAAGTACTTTTGAATATAAAAAGGGATTATACACTTCTCATGGTATCAGGGTTTCCTTTAGGACTTCAATTCTCTAGAAGAGATCTGAATCGAAATGAAAGATGCTGTTGCAAAGGTGACACAGAACAACTGTGTGTACAAAATTAAGTGTTTTGAATGTGAAGCTAATTATGTTGGAGAAAGTTGTAGTCCCTGAAACGTTGGATTGAGTGAATACACGTTATATGAGAAACATCTACTGAAGTATTAAGACGAATGAAAACATTTGGAAAGGCGATCAGCAATAGGTAATGATTCAATCGAAAGTAGACAAATTGGTTTGGAAATTTTCATTTTTCATAAATAAAGATCAACTTCCGAAGGTGTGCATATTTTAACAACATCAAATGCAGTTATAAACAGAAGAGAAACAATCAACTTGTCACCTATTTCGCAAATGTTAATTCTACATAACCGTTGATGGTGACCTTTCCTAAGTTATGCCTTATCAACAATAACAACTGGCAGTTTTTTATCAATCAGTTGGTTTTCACTTAAAAGTACTGAAAACAATGCATATTCAGCAACATTCATAAGAACACGTTGCACAGCATTTACCGTTGACAAATGAACTTGTAATGACTAATTACAATTACTCAGTGTGAACAGTAAACCATATGATCAATGACCTACATACGCCAAATATTTGATGGACTATTTGACTATATATTTTCATTCAATTCAGAGGCTTGTTGAGGTTGATTTATTGATTTCAGTTTGGTTTTCATCATGAATCTACGCCAACTGGAAAAGGATGAAAAACCTGGGAAGACTGGAAACCTGTTTCATCTTAGTTTGAGACTCTGCAATACGCATCCATAACTCCACAAGGGTTCAAATTAAGGAACTTCAGGTTACACAGCTAACGCGTTAATCATTCAACTATTATCTGGAACTCTATCTTAGGAAGAATATCACCAATAACCTGAAATCGTATTGCTGCAAAGCGTTCACAAGTGATATGCTTCTAAATGGATATCCCGAAGTTCTAATAAAAAGTTGTGACGTATGTGGTCAACCAGCTGAAAGTGAAGTGGATAATAACTGAATACCTTGGATGGTAGTTGTGCTATATCACGAATTGAAAGAAGAAGCAAAATGTGGATCATTGAATTCTGACTCAGTGACTGAGTTTTTCACATTTTCTCCATGAAACCTGGACGTATTGAATTCATTACGTAGCCGGGTTTTGGGTGTGTGTATTTGGGCATTTCAATGCTAGGAGGAAACAGGTCTGCTATCCTCCAAGGTTTCCGATGTTTCTCTATGTTACATCAGTCTTTGATGAGTCCTATCTTGAAATCAATAAATCCGTACAAACCTTGAAGGTGAATTAGCAATAATAGTTGTGAAACAATAGGCCAAAGAACATAATTACCCTGATCGGTGAGTTTGTTTTTCTTCAGCAAACCAGAATATGTAGAATTTGATAAACGTCTAGGTATGCACAAGGTATTCTGAGAGAAATAATTATAATACTGCTTATTGACAGAATTTTGCAGCTCAGTTGGTAGAGCATCCGACTGGAAATCCAATGGTCGCTGGTTCGAATCCGGCCACGGTCCAAATTTTCATTTCACCTCCAATCATTATCCAGTATAAATTGCTTAATTGCTTGATACCTCTATGAATCGATTTTGAGCTGTATTGTTTCTTGGTAAATCCCCATATTTCCTTTTATTTTTATTAAAGAGAAATGCAGTGCTTGGCGAGCATTTATGGAATGATACAACATCTACTGATACGTGTTACGTGGAAGAATCTGAATGCTGCGTAAGTTCCACTTGTATTGCTAAATAATACAATATTTTCAGTTTGTGTAAATCCTATCGTGATAATGAAGGTATTGATTACTTTATAAAATACGTTAAGAGAGGGTTTGATCATGCCGGTTGAAACTGTTAACCGTGACATAACTGCGATTGATGTCTTTGTGGCTTTTGAATGTTAGCTGTCAGGAAGCGCTGCGCTCTTACCAGCAAGGTACATTTTCAATTTATAAGGAAACTGATGTTTTCTGAATAGTGAAAACAGGGGCCATTCAGTATTGAAGAGAGAGACTTTACTACTAAGCCGATCAGATCGAATCTAACCCTCTGTAGGATTGGATCATGTAAACAAATTGGTTACTAGAGAGTAAACGAAGTAGCTGTCTAGTCTGAAGTGCTCACTGTTATTCAAATTCTACGGATCATATACAAGATCCACTGTGGTCAGTTTTAAGCAATATCGGAGGGTGTTTCGGGCATTCAGTTCTGCCATTCTCATGGAATCCTACATTTCCTACATTTGCTTTCACAGCCCAAACTTAAGGTCATAAAAAGTGTTGGCTTCGAAGCACATTTTTGTGGGACATCAATAATATTTTTAGGTTGGTGTTCATCATGGATATCAGTTGGAAGAACAATGGAAATTTTGGAGTACTAGACAACTGCTTCGTCATAGTATGGGACTCCTCAACAGTTTGCGCTGACGACCCCACCCCACCAGGGATCGATGTAGCTCAAACTCCATCCAATGCTCTCGTCGAATGACTGTCCTCATGTTCGACTTGGTTGACGAATATCAATCTGAAATGAATAAATCCCAATAAACCACCAAACTGAATTAATCTAATGCTTATTTGGTGACTAGCTTCGAGAGATGATCCCTAAATTTCCATTGTAAAGTCATGACCAATGGGGCCAACTGAACTGAACATGAGGAAACTTACTCAACAACATCAGTGGATGAATGTCACGCGAAATCGTGAACTGATAGATGTAGGGAATATAGATTGCTGAATTCGAACCTAGTGGCCAAACGGTAACGTAGTGGCCGCGGAACCTGAAGTTGTGAATTTGCACTGCTGAGAAGTCACATACAACGACGAAACAGCTATCCAGTGTTCCTAACTTCCCAGTATCTTTTTAACTGATGTCAGTCTTAGATCAATACCAACCCGAATTCACTAAATCTGCACAAACCTCAAAATTGAACCGGTTATATTTACCAGCCGATTTTTATTCATTTAATGTGGGGCAGCAGTGTAGGTAGATACGGTGTACCGAATGTCTAAGATACCTCACTTGATGAAAGCTTATTAATTCGCTGAGTTGCACTGTTTTTCTACCCAAGATGCTAACTCTTGTCATTACTTCATCCAATCATTACACTGTATTCATATACATAGCACAGCAAGCGAATAAACTTACCGTTTTTTAGCAAATCTCAGCAGCCAGGTATTATTATTATTATTTTTCCCTTCGGTTACTAGTGGTAAGTAGGGCTTCAGTAGCACTTCTCCATTGCAATCTCTTCTCTGCAGTCTTTTCAATGTCTGTAGTTTGTTGGAAATGCTTTTCGTAACGCGCCAAGTCTCTCAACCATATAGCACCACCTGCCGATTACTTCCATCCAACAAATATCTATGCCAGTATATTCCAGTGGTCTGCATGGAAAAAGATCCATGCAACTCTATGAGTAATTAGAATACTATAATTTGTCCCTTGGGTTTCTAGTGGAACATAGGGATTCAGCAATACGTCTCCATCCTACTCTCTTCTCTGCAATCGTTCGAACCTGGCTCCACGACTGCTCAGTAGCTCTCATTTCTTCCTCGCACGACCTCCTCCTTGTCACCCTCACCTCCGACGCCAAACTCGTCGTTTCCCATCTGGGTTCCACTCGATGGTCTGGCCTGGTGCGTGATGTTCCCAGTCAGCCTTCTTAGTGCATATCCAATCCATCTCTACTTCCATTCCCTTCTGCATATTTGTTGAACGGTACGTTCTTGGTTGGTTCGTTGCCAGCCAGCCAGAGTTCCTTGTTGCTTATTCTTATTATTCTGGCCATCTGATTTTCAGTAAGGAGTGAGCGTAGGCGGCAGCTGTTGATGAATATCTATAGTTTGTTGGAAATGCCTTTCATAACGTGCCAAGTTTCCGAACCATTTAGGAGCACTGACTTGACGTTGGTGTTGAAAATCCGTATCTTGTTCCACATGCTGAGTGCAGAATATCTCCACACTGGTTTCAGATTAGTGAAAGCCTGTCTTGCTTTCCTGATCTTGACCTTGACATCCTCATCTGTGCCGCCACCTGTAGTTGGAACGATGCTGTCAAGTAGCTAGGTAGGTGGAAGAGACAACTTCCTTTAGGTTTCTCCTGTTGATGGTGATTGGTGCTTGTTGTTGATGCTGTTGTTGGTTGGGTATCTTCACCACATCCGTCTTCTCTACATTCACTTGAATTCTCATCTTCGCTGCCCTGCCTCTTCTGTCAACTTGTTGGTTTTTGCCTGTAGATCTTCGAGTTTGTGTGACAAGACATTAGACATAAATTATCATCGGCCAAATTCAAATCTTCTGCTGGTGTCTTTTCATCAATCTAGCCAGCGTATCCCCTTCTTCTCGCTCCTCACGGTGTGTTGCATGATCCAATCCACGACAATCAGGAAGATGACCGGTGATAGTAGACAGTCTTGTCTTACTCCTGTCTTCACTTCAAAAGCATTACTGAGCTTCCCACTGTGAATCACTTGGCATGTGGCGTCTTCATATTGTTTTTGAATGAGGTTGATAAATTTTTGTTGCACTAAAACTGTAGTGTTGAAGCAACTGCTGGCCAAATTACTTCTCGACCTTTTCAAAGTCGACGAAGCTGAGGTAGAGTTGAGTTGACTGCCATTCTATACTCTAGGTACTCTAGGTATAGTCAACACAATTGTGCGTTTTAGAAAGTTCAGCTGTATAAAATATATTATACCAATGAAGGTAAATGATGGCAATCTTGTTCATTAGTATGAAGAAGCTACAAAATACTAGTTAAGTCGATTCTAATTGATCTCATGTTTCTGTAAACAACATAACCAAGTTTCATGAATCAACATAAATAGTAAATGGCATAAGTCACTTCAATGAAAAAATAATTTCATACTCTATTTTCGAATGAAACTCACTTTTAACGTTTAGAAAATTTTGCTATCACGAAGATAATAATAATAATAGTAGCAATAATAATAATTATAATAGTGATAATAATAATAATTATTTTTCCCTTGCATTCCTAATGGAACATAAGGCTTCAGTAGTACGCCTCCACTGAACTCTGTTCTCTATAGTCTTTTGAACCTGGCGCCACGACTGCCCACAATGATAATAATAAAAATAATAATGTAATCATATAACATATATTCATGAATGTACAGCTTAGTAAATGACTCTATCGGAAAGAAAAATGCTTCTTCTCTGGAACCATGTTCTGTTTTTTTATTTTTAACTATGATCTAATAGATGTATTCCGCTGTTTAATAACAATATGTCTGATGTTCTCAAAGACTAACTGGTTGATTTTTATTATCAATGTTTAATGAGCATTTATAATCAATGAATGTAATTTGTATAAGCTAGTTCTATGTAGGAGGGGGATACACTAGACTGCAGAAAAGAACCTAGAAGATTTGGATTTCGCCGATGACTTGTGCCTGATGTCACATAAACTTGAAGATCCACAGGCAAAAACTAACAAGTTGATAGAAGAGGCAGCGAAGACGGGACTTCAGGTGAATATAGAGAAGACAGAAGTGATGAAGATACCGCACCACCACCAACAACAACAAACTCCAGTTACCATCAACGGGAGAAACTTAAAGGAAGTAACCTCCTTCACTTATCTGGGAAGCACTGTTTCAACTACAGGCGGGACGGACGAGGATGTCAAAGTGAGAATCGGAAAAGCAAAACAGGCATTCATTAGCCTGAAACCAGTGTGGAGATATTCTGCACTCAGCATGCGGAACAAGATACGGATTTTCAACACCAACGTCAAGTCAGTGCTTCTGTATGGTTGAGAGACTTGGCGCGTCACGAAAGGGATTTCCAATAAACTACAGACATTCATCAACAACTGCTTACGCTCGCTACTGAAGATCAGATGGCCAGAATAGTGAGAATAAGCAACAAGGAACTCTGAGAACGAACCAACCAAGAACCTATCTCTCAACAAATATGCAGGAGGAAGTGGAGATGGATTGGCCATGCACTGAGAAGGCCGACTGAGGACATCACGCGTCAGGCCAGTTGCTCGAGTGGAATCCCCATGGGAAGCGACGAGTTGGACGTCGGTGTCGAGGGTGACATGGAGGAGATCGTGCGAGGAGGAAATGAGAGGTTGTGGGCTGTCGTGGAACCAGGTTCAAAAGATCTGAGAGAACAGAGTTCACTGGAGACGTGCTACTGAAGCCCTGTTTTCCACTAGGAACCCAAGGGACTAATAATAATAATAATAATAATAATAATAATACTTCTATGTAGGCTGTATTGAATTTCTTTGGAAACTAATCATAGTAGGTCGGCTTTATATTTTTTCGTAAATGTTTTACAATTTTTTTTTAGAAAATAGATTCATTTAACATATAATGAAATTTTCCCCTTAACAATAAAAGTGAACAATGAAAATTTTTGTTGTTAAGTGAATCCTTTTTTTTAAAACTATTTCATGTATTCATTTAACACATATTAAGTATATGCTCCTATAGTTAAGTAATACAAATTTTGTTTTAAATGTTTTTTCTGTTTTTCAAGAACAAAGGAACAAAAATTTAAAAGGGATTAGAATAATATGTTGCTTTTTGGGATAAAATTTTAAAAAGGGAGATGTTTAGAAAATTATTTAAAAAAATTTAATGATTCCCAGTCATTGTGAAACAAATTAGCTACGTAAACATTATTTTTTTTTCTGTTAAACTAATTAAATAATTTAGTATTTGTGCATATGCTTGGTAAATGAACTGAT